CGCTTAGATACAAAGGCATGGCTACCTTTCAAGATGGTGCAGGTAACCGTGAACAAGAAGATTGTGGAAAAGAAATATGTCAATATTACATACCTTATAATCAATTTAATTAACTTAATCAACATGTTGCTCCACCAAATTTCTGGTTATAGAGATTCAAAAATGACAAAAACCTGCATTTCTGAAATCTTCTATTGCTCCTCTCCTCAATCCTGTCTTACAAAAGTGTTCATTCTTTTTTCTTTCTTACTCAAACAGAAAAAGGCAAGAATCAAGTTTTCTGATGAAGAAGGGCGGAATGAGTTATTAGGAAATGATGACCCACATTCTTCAGAAGACCAGGTAACAAGAAGAATNTGACAATACAGAAAGGCTTGATCGCACTGGGAGAAGATTGGAAGAAGGTTACAAGATGTGTGTTGAAACAGGTGATAAATAACTCCTTCAWGGCTYGCTGCACCATYCTGAAAGATAGCTGTRCCTCAACGTCAAAGCGAGATGACCGTTCAGAGTGCAACGATAGATATCTTTGAAAATTCACTCAAGGTGTAGAGGAAGGTCTATATTGMATGYTCARTGGTTATCTCACTTCGATGCAAAGGCAYGGCTACCTTTCAARATACCACAGGGAACYCTRAAGGAGAATGATTGAAATATGTTTGCTAAAAAATTATTAACATTTGTGATGTTTTTATAATAATAATGCAGAACAAATTGGTGTTGATATAATGGATAACTTACATAGAGACAGAGAAGTCATTAACAGATCACGTGACAGGGTAAAGCACTTTTCAATTTCTTGACACCAAATAGATTATTTTTGTTTCATGCAAATTATTCTTTTCAATTTAGTTACGAGGAACAGACCAGAATCTATCCAAGAGCTCTAGATTACTAACTGCAATGATGAGAAGGTAACACAGCATGATTCATTAGATGATTGATTGATTGATTGATTGATTGATTGATTGATTGATTGATTGATTGATTGATTGATTGATTGATTGATTGAGTGAGTCAGTGAGTGTGTCAGTGAATGATTGGTTGATTGATTGATTGATTGATCGATTGATTGATTGATTGATTTTATAGCTGTCTGACTGACTGCTTAACCCATGTGTCTCTAACAATGGTATTGGCAGACAATGGTTTGATCAGTTAATCAAGCAACATGAAACTGGCAATAAGACAATCAATCACCCATCAATCAATTGACATTTGAGTAGAGGCTGAGGTAGATTGGGCTCTGCAACCCTTTATGTTTACCCCAATCTCTTCAGCCCTCCACACAAAAGTCTCTGGGCTTCCGAGGATGATCAAATAACAAAATTTTCTTTCTTCCACAGAGTCATCCAAAATAGGATTATATTAGCTGTTATTTGCATCGTTATTCTTGTCGTCATTGGACTTGTTATATATTACTCTGTGAAAAAGAAGTCGACATGAAAATCTACAATCATTTCAAGGCAATGTAGATGTTGCTTGAGGAYGCAGGGGTAATCTTCWTTCAATTGTTCCACATTCCTTGAAATAATATCCCTGGTGACMGAGTTTGTTGCAGCTAGTGCAGAATTTGGAATTTGCAGAAGATTACCCTTGGGCTTCTAAGATGTTTATGTGTAGAAATATACAGGGTATTGGTCATTCCAAGACCTCAATTTGACATGATAATGGTCTTCAGATCAAGTTTTTARTCAGACAGTAGCCAATCTTTGTAGTCACTGTAATTTTCTCAGTTATTGGGMTTCCTGTGTGTTAATTAGGGAGAAAGGGCCTGGGAGTCAAAGGCTGAAAGAAATAAAGGAGTAACTAGAGCACTATATGCAGGAAGATCACATTATACATTAAATAATGAGAGTATAGGGTAAGAATAATTTTATTGCAAAAGGGTGTTATTACTCTATCAAATCTAGGTTTACGCTGTTTGATTATAAGTTTACACACCCTAAGACTTACTAAGAATTACAACAAAAATGWTTTTGGAGAAATGTCCTTGATAAATTTCATGAATCCTTTAGCCTGTGTACATCCGTTTCTTGAGGGGYGAGAAACGGATGTACACAGGCTATGAATCCTTGCACTTGAAATAAGTTCTGAATTTTTGCAAGAATAGTATGACATTCTCAGCATGCTTTAAGGAAAAAAAAAAGGTTGAAAAAAATGAAATGAAAGAATATTACAGGCAGTAGTACAATTCTCATCTTTTTCATTTCTTATTTRGTATTTTATTCATATGTTTAAAACTTTTCACTAATTTCTATTGCTGATATATTATAGTTTATGAATGGTTTTTGAAAATGATGCATAACCTATTGGGAAAAGTGGGGGATAACTTGCAAAGTCAGTTAGGATCTAATTTGTGATGTATTAGTATAGAATAGCGGATTACAGGGGGGGGGGGGCAGATTACAGAGAAACCTCTAGTAGAGAGGGGCTGTTGTCATTGATAAGTAAGACAAATTTGAAAATGTAATATTTGCAGTGTTGCACTAAAGGGGTTTCTATTACAGGCAAATAGGTCAGAAGCAATGAATATAGACTTGTGGTATTCATGAGAATTTTTATTGCGTTGTAGTCAATAAATTGTAAAGTAAATGTAGCTTACATTTCGTAAGAGCGCMGTTCCATATGTGGGATTCTAGTCACCATTGAAAGAACAAAATATTCTGCTTTGCCCACTAGATGAAGCAGATTTGACATCATTCTCGTACTGAGACCCTTCTCTCTCTCTCAATTGGGATTCTTGAATGAGGTCTAATTACGAGAATGACGTCATACTGCAACGGGTCCCTTCCAAGCTCAGGAAAMCCACATGAAAGCGAATATGATATGTTGTAGTAATTTAGCTCATTATGAGTATAAAGTAATCAGCTTATAAGTATTATACAAGAAAAAAAATTGAACATTTTGCATGAAAATGTTAATTGTAATTTTTGGAGCCCCTGCTTTTTATGTGAAAAAATTAATTTCTTGGCTTAACGTCCAACAGACAAACTATATTCTCAAAGGAAAGAAATAAAAGTTAAAAAAAAAATCTTGTGTATTCCATTGTTATATTCCACTAAGGAGTTTGGGAACGATATCAATTGCGTCACATCCGGTGTATTTGTGGCGCTTTCTTCGCCCATCGCCTACTAATTCAACAAATTTCRACCTCGGGCGTGGACTTTGCATTTTGTCGTTAGAGAAAATGAATAGTCATGTAAGACCACTTTGTCTTTCGGTTGTTATTAAGAGTTCTACTTCTCAAACGAGCAAAAATTGGGATGTTTTCACTGGATCCAAAGGGGACCGAAGTACCGCTGAAAGACTGACAAATCGATTCTACGCCCAGACAATGCTCCTGCAAAAACCACATTGACTATTAGATGTAAAATTCTGCATCGTGGAATCATGCATAGCAATAAACTAGGTGAGCTTGTTGTACTAAAGAATCAGTGTGAAGCTACCATCGTTTGCAAACATGGCATTCTCTCGTATTCAGAATTTTGAAGCTTTTGCCATCTCTTTGAAATATTACTAAATCAGAAGTTTGCCCATACTTTATTTTAGATTAAGAGGGAGAAACATGAAAATGTACAATAAGAAAAGGTTAGTAATATAACATTAGTTTTTGTGTGTGATAAGTTTCGTCAAGTTTTGTAGGAAAGTACCCAATAGTGCTTTGCGCGCCCAATTTCATTTCGCGCGAGATGTAATTTACGAAACCGGAGAGAGACCACCGCACTATACTTACATCAATCAGTGATATCAAAGATATTTTASCTTAAGAACTAAATCATTTTTAGAATTTGCGTCTATGATAAGCCATAAGCCAGTAACGAGCCAGTCTGACTGGCTCTAGTTTACGTTAAATTTCTCATCATAGTCGATCGCGGTTCTCAGTATAGTCGGCGTGTACAATCATCGAACACTGTAACTAAAAGCGTCATTCCGGTATTTGATCTGAACATTTGTCACTCATCTTGCTTAGCCTTGAAAAAAAAAACTTATCGTCACTAAAAATGTTCTACGTGGCATTTTCGTGTTTGTCAGAGATTTTTTTGTGTTCAACACAAAGTTTGTGTGACTATGAATCTGCTTTCATTGAGTCGGTTTTGCTAGATACTTTATAAGTTTTAGATTAGTTTTCTTTTAAAATTGTATTATGACTCTGATTTGCCACAAATTTGAAGGTAAATATCTAGTAAGTGACGTAATAAATCGGAGTGATTAGGACCGTGACGTAAACTGGATGGAACTTGCTTCGGGAGGTATTTCCGGAAGAAACACAAGTGAGAGCCGTTGTTGACATTTCAAGAAATACTTTGCATAAATCAGAATAATAAGTTGAATTTCAAGCACAAGGAAATTATCTCTAAGAATAAAGCCCATCTCCATCCGCAATAGCGCTTTAAAATTTGAATGCAAGCGGTTGACAAACTTAGTCAATTATCGAACACAGAAGTTTTAAAATGTTACTCAGAAAATGCATGTTTTTTGGAAAATATCTTGCCAACCACTGAACGTTTAATATGTTAAAAAATTTCATATAGCACAGAAAATTTAGTACYTTTTTGCCCTAGCGATGGGATGAAGTGTAAGGACCAATACACCACACCCAATTTTAAGCAAAAGTTGTTCATCTGAAACTATACTTACTTTTACCAAATGTCACTTCAATAATTGATAAACTAAGCCTTGTTACATTGTAATCTCTTTAATTTTTGATAAGATTTCTATCCATTAGCTAATAGTCTAACATAGCCTGATAATTCATTAAGATTTGATGAGCTGTCGGTATGGAGGAGTCACGCCTCAGTAGGAGAGAAGGTCGGCGCTCTTCGTCTGTTCTGAACATACCGCCAGATCGCATATTTTTTCATATTGTCAATAAATTGAAAGAAGGCCGTGTAGAACGCACATGTAGAACATTGATGCAGTTCACAGAATAGGATTTCACGCTTTGAGGTATTTAACTAATACGCTATAAGATGTGTGAATTCATCATGGAACTATTGGAAAATCTGTTGACTTTGTAGTTAATTGTCACGAATTTCAATGCAAAAGTTCTCCTCAGCAAGAGAAACAATTGTCATTACAAATATTCACAATGCTTTCTCATTCTGTTAACTCTCTCAGTTTAAACTTATGATTTCTTACGTTTTACGCAAGTAACACCAATGTACGTATTGCCGTTACGTACCTTACGTACCTTACGTACAAAATATATACGCACTGTCATTTATAGACGTTGAGGACACAAGAAACAAAAATTGTTGTTCTTTGTTGTGATTTAATGATTGCATTCATAGTTTCGTGTAAATCCTAATCTTAATTTTGCTAGTGAATCACTGCTACGTTTGTTGCAACACCCATTTTTCGCAACTGTGCTCAGATTCGACGTATAAGTGTGCATTCATGTCCGTAGGCTTAAGTCGCTCTTGTAGCGTTATACTATGCCGTTTTAAATTATAGAACCAGGAAGGAGTAAAAGTCTTACGTATATACAGTTCTTCTGGTGGAAAAACGATGTACTTTTTCATAGTTTTACGTAGCTTCAGTTGGGGYATTGCGTAAATTATTTACGTTAGAAACAGGAAGAAGTAAAAGTCTTGCGTAACTATAGTTTTACGTATAGAAACAGGAAGATGTAGAAGTCTTATTTCTTCCAGCTGCTTATGAAAAGCCAGCACCGGGCCAAGACTTATTTTCCAAACATCCGCTTCTTTCAATTGGTACAAACGGCCACAAACACAGCTTGTGTTTGTAGTTGGACTTTGCAGCCTTCTCTTGCTTCACTTGAAGTTACACCCGGCCATCAACTAACGCATAAATATTCTTTTCTTCTTCACTTTAAGTCTTTCATGTTGTATACATTCATTTTTATAGTAAATAAACATGATTTATTTGCTTCTGGAGATTTTCTTCTGTGTTTTAACGTTTTACATCGGATGATGATGGAAATGAGAGTAAACTTTTAAGCTGAAAGCCTTTTYCACACAATTTTAATGATAAACTTTGCTTAAAATAAAAAACATATATAGTTAGATGAAGTATTCTATATAATTATTGAACAAAATTGTATCATCACAGATCACAAATGGCATTTTCTGGTATGTCAAAGAAAATGGAGTGTTGAAGAGCGAGACGCCYACACTTTTCAGTAAAGTCGCAACTCTGCACAGAGCGCAGCGAAGAAAATATGAAGCTCGCTTTAATTTAAGTTCTAAGTCTATTTTCTTTACGGTAAAGTCCTGTAGAGTCGACGTTCGGTTAGTGGCGTATATATTTTTTTTGTCAAAAGACTAAATCAATGCCAACGCAGTTGCGTCATGCGCCTAGTGAACACTAAACAATTCTAGAAAGTTACAAATATGATTCAGTTCCTTGAAACGCTTATAAATGTTTAAAAAAGACTTCGCATGGTCTCTACATATCCCATATCGTTTGCTTTCCTTTCTTTTTCCGCCTTTCATTAGTTAGTTTATCAATTTTCTCAATAATTTTAAAAACAACATAAAACAACAGCTTACAAAGGCCAATTCGCCGCAAATTCTCATGTTACATGTTACACATATCACTGATCAACATGACGAGTTTTGAAGACCGTTTTTCATTCTTATTTCAATAAATCATTGCAATTTATAAAAGTTTTATACGAAGAGAAGTAGTTGTTTGCCATGCCTTGTGTAATAATAATAATTTTGGTGAAATACTTCTAAGGCATAAGATAACTTTATTCCAAACGTTTCGTTTTATACCAATATTTCAGTTTATTCGTTTGCAGTACGGGATAAAGGTGTACAATATCACTGTTTTTAACTAGAGAAACTCTTTATGTTAAAACTATCACATCAATTACAACAATGGAAGTATTTTTAGTATTTGTTTTTACTATTCTCTCGACGCATAARCTCAAAAAACTTTGGCGCGCGCAGATAAATAACAGTTACTAACTACCTCCACAATTATGTAATAAGTTTTTTCCCGCACAAACAGTGCGCTGTCGAGGGGTACTGCCTTTTTCACACGCGTTAACTTCTCAAGATAGCATTCACAAAAACAGTATGTGACTCTGAAGTATTCCCAAACCATGTATTTAATAAACTAGGTTGTTTTTCCAATCATACCAGGAGAATCATTTGAACAAAGAAGAGTACGACGCCTGTCTGACATATGTTATCCGGGCTGCCGTCCCTACTCGTTATATTAGTTCATTGAGGTAAAAAATTAAAAAAAGATAAGAAAGTCTACAAAATCTAATTCAATTTTGTAATAAAACTCTCTTTTGTTAAAATGTGATGTAAATTATTGATTTTTTCGGTGCATTTCATGTTTGTGAACTGTTTGTTGGGTAGAATGCATCTTTAGCGGACCAACAGCCATTCTGTCCAATGTTGATTRCTTTTTAGTCGTTCGTGAAAATGAAAAGGCTAATACTCTTTGAAATTTACTTGTATATCGACTTGTCTAATTTAAAACATCTTTAGTTTTTCTTTTCAGAGACGGAATATCATTCTCACTGCGTGTATCGTTCTGTTTTGAGTGTTTATTTTGGTGTGTCTGTTGACTGGTCTTTCGGGTCATAATAGAAAAGTTGTTTTTGGAATTTCTCAGTGCAACAGGATGGAGATTTGCTCTCATGAAAACAAATTAACARCGAGAATTGTTTAGCCAAGTTAAACGGCTGTACAAAAATATGGAAAATACGTGTTTTTGAATGATTTTAACAGTTCTATTTGTGTCAGGTCAACGCTTAGCTAGACTATTGGGAACTCCAACGAAAGCTCTTTTTTCTTAGAATACATGTATAACTGAATCACTTGGAAAACTGCGTAAGAAAGTTACAAAATAGCTGTCCGATTGACTATAATCGAGGTAAATTTGTAGTTGTACTGAAAACACTTTTGAATGAAATTATTTTAAGAAGTGGAGTTTGAAACCATGACAAGAGAGAAAGAAAACCTTTAGTAAAGTGCGTAAAAACGGCTCGATATCATGGATGAAATCGTGTTGATAAAATAGATGTAAGGCCTGTAC